TACAATTTTTTGTTTATAACGTAGTTTATACGGATTATTTTCAAAAAAATATACGTATTTTGGAAATGTTGAGTCGAATTAGTCTAGAATCGATTAATTTTATGAAAGAAAACCTTTCAAACAGCCGTAGTCCGTAAACTATGATTCCTACAAAATTGATTCATAAAGAACGGAACGTATCTACCATCTTATAGGGGGATCTACTGTATTAATAATCACATTCATATACATAATATATGAATTTGATTGCCAGTATATCTTGTGATGTATAAACTGAATTAATCAAGCATTTATTTTATAGCAAACTAGCTGTTACCCGCAGCTTTGCTTGCCCAGATTTTGCAAGCAAACCCTATTTACATTCAATATTTCAACAACCATAGTAATTGTTATTTAACACCTACTGCTGAGAATAATGAGAATTGCTGAGAATCAAATGAACTGTTTTTAATTTGATAAATTTTCTGGAACATTTACAATCGTTCTATAATCGAACCAATATGCAAAAAAGAAATTCAAATTTAAAATGGTTGGAATATTTGGTTAAAAAATCGAAATATATAAAAAATATTTATGACAATGTCTGAAATGTTAACAATTTATACCCCTAAGTACTTAATGAAGACTAAACGTAATTAAAAACAAAAAAATCGCATCAAAAATAGTACAGTAGAAGCCGTTCTTCTGGTTAAGCCTTAATGCTCTCCCTCTCCCCCGCTGGGGAATTTCGAAAAATCCCTTCTTAGTGTGCATTGCCATGGCATACCCTACTAAAACTCAGATAAAAACGAAAAATCGCATCTAAAATACTACAGTAGAAGCCGTTTTTCCGGTTAAGCCTTAATGCTCTCCCTCTCCCTCCCATGGGGGAATTTCGGAAAATCCCTTCTTAGTGGGTGTTTTCATGACATACCCTGTGTACCAAATTTCACTTCTTTAGGTTCAGTGGTTTGCTCTGGGCGATGATGAATCAGTGAGTCAGTCAGGACAAGCAATTTTATATATATAGATTTAACAAATAGTTATAGTGTAATTATTAAATAAATAGTTATAGTAATAGTAATAAATAGTTGTAATATAATTATTGAAATTATAATAAAGTTTAATGTTGTAAATATGAATTCTTCATAGGTTTTCGTAGTAGTAGTTATTGTGCAGGAGCAACTGCTTTACAAGGAAAACAAAAAGAGAGATATGCTGAACTTGTTAATGATATTGAAATTGATGAGAGCAGAATTGTTGTTTTACAGCTAAGGCTTGTTGCCAGGTAAACTTGAATATATATTTAGTTTTAAACACTAAATTTTTGTAAAATTTTATAAACAGACTAACATAATAAATAGCTGCTTACCTTGTAAATGCAATATCCAGTGCTTGGTCTCAATTCTCTACCTTGAATGTTGAAGTTTTGTATATACAAAATTACCTTGTTTGTTCCAACAGATCTGAGAGATAAGGACAGTCTACGGCAATTGCATAACAATTTCATAACATTACTTATCCTAAAATTTATTTGACTTTAGACTTGTATCTAAAAATTGGAACTGATGAGTCATTTGGAACATATGAATAGTGAGAATGTGATGAGGTAAATTCTACTCTTATAGTCACAGAGATTGTACCTTTACACTTTACTGTGGCTATAACAGATAATAATGTGTTACCAACAACAGTGAAATAATTATATGGTATACATTTTACTTGTGCCTTACGTCTTTTCTTGCCCCCCCTTTCGCCACGTGGTGGGTCTGACTCGGTGGAGAGGAGTTATGTAATTCTGGGGTGTGTAACCGTGGGTGGGAGTTTTATGGTAGGGTGTGTCTCGGGGAGAGTGCAGAACAGAAGTGGAGAGAGGCAGTGGCGTACCGTGGGGAGGGCGGCAGGGGCGGCCTGCCCCGGGCGGCACTTTTTAGGAGGCGGCAAAATTACATCTTAGGGGCGGCAAAGCGAACCTGTTGACCTTTTGTTTTTTTTTTTTTCTTTGCTTGTACGATTCATTCGTGTTAATATCCACCGCTAATATCCAATATAGCTATTTTGAACAGGTCGCTGCACTACCTCCGAAATTTTCATTGCTTGTTCTGTGACAAACTGAATTTTGGTCTTATAAATTGAAATACCTAAAGGGGCGCCGGAATTTTCCTCCGCCCCGGGCGGCTGACACCCACGGTACGCCACTGGAGAGAGGACAGGGAAGTAGGAAAGTAAAAGTGGTGGTGAAAGTGTGTGAAAAAAGTAAAAAGACTGTGCAAGCAAGTCCATGTGAGATTTCAGATTAGGAACTGTTTTCTGCCCATAGTGAAGGAGAGGAAAGGATATGACAAAACCCCATTTCTGTCGTTATGTTTCTATGTCTTCATGTTATGTGTGCTTGAGCAGTTTATTGTTGGGAGATTTTTGTTAACGATACGCGATATACTAGATTTGTCAGACTCCGTATCTTCCTGTGTCTCATCTTTGTTTTAGGAGTACTGTATGCTCCCAGGTATATTAAAGGAATATTTTGTAGAATTTGATAGTTGTCTTTGTCTAGTCCCTATTGAGTCCAGTGGATTCTCCTTGATCAGCATCTGCTCCATCAAGCACACTTGTTCTAAATTCTCCCTTTGTAGAAGCACTTACGTTTTATCGTGTCGATTTGTTCTCACAATATTTTATACCCTCACATTCTTATACTGTGTGCTTGTAAATTTAAGTGCATGAACTAAATTTTTAAATAATATATTTTAAATGTGATATGGTTCATGTTCAGGTAGGAGAATGAACATTCTCCTACCTGAACATGATTGCTTGACAGGTGGCTGCATTTGATGGTGTTTGAACATCTGATTGACTGCATGGAAGCTTATTTGCTATAGTATCTTCATTGAGAACACTGGTTTCAAATGGTTGATTGAAATTGTGACTTCATGATCCTTAATGATGACTTTAACTACTTGTTAGATCTATCAACCACTTTATATGGTTTATGGACTCCATCTTGCTTTACAAAAACATACCTGTAAGTTCTTGTGGACAAAGATGTCTGTTGTGACACATGACTGGTAGCTGGCACTGGTTGTAGACATGACATGGCCTTCTGAAGTGTCTCCACTATCTCCTTTGGGTTTGTTTCCCTTACAATTGATGCCCAAGGAATTTCCCTGGTAGACCTAGGACCATTCTATAGGCAAACTGCTGTTATCACTCTGATGTCTTCCTTAAATGCTGAATGAAATTTGAGTACGATTGTCAACAGAATATTCGTCCAGCGTTCAGTCATATGACTTTTTATTGCAGTTTTGAGTAGGTGATGTAGCTGTTCCACAATGCCATTTACTTTAAGAATGACATGATGGAATTTATTAAAAGTAGTCATGTGCAGTTTATCTATACCAGTAACCAGGCCTGTACTAATTTTACTTCAAACTGTCATCCTTTGTTGCTGGAGATTTATCGCAGAATGCCAATGCAGGAAATCCAACTGCACTCGAACACAGACTACTGTCTCAGCAATGGGACAACCTTGGGCAATCACATGAAGTGATCTAGCATGGTGAGGGCACCTGGGATGATGGCAATGATCCTACCAAATCCAGATGCATGTGTTTGAATCTGATACTGAGAAGGAATCAAGTGGGCTTGAGAGATGATGATGGATTTTCAATCTTTGGCAGGGAATACAATCTTGATGATGGGCAGAAGCCTTAAATTCCTAACCAAAGAGTCCCTTTTCATTGATGGCCAAATGAAATACTGTGCTACGAGTTTGTAGCTTTAATCCGTGGGGAAGGAAGATTGTGCACCATCTTGAATGCTTTGTATTAGTGTTCAATCAGCATGTAAAGTCTCACTGTACCTGTAGATATGTTGTAGAAGAGTTCTGTGTCAATATTTTCAAATTTCAATAAACTGAGTTTTTTAATATCTGGTTGTTGACTAGCAATTCATTTAACTCTTTGTGTTCTTGTGCCTGTGAAACTTTGCAATAATCTATGGGAAAAGGCATTTCTACAATGCTATTTAAGAGAGTGTGTTGGTCATGACATTGTCTGTATCTTTAATGTAACGTATGTCCATCATAAACTACAAAATAAAATCAAGTTGTCAATTTTGTCAAGGGAATGACTGTTCTGTCTTTCTTTTAAATTAAAAGCAAAAGTCAGCAGTTTGTGAATAGTTAATGTACTAAAGTTACACCATTTAAGCATAAACTGGAAATGTTTAATTAAGACAAATGCAGCTAGCAACTTTCTGTCATACACACTATATTTATGTTCAGTCAAAGAGAGTTTCATTGAGAAGAACCTGAGTGGTTCTAATGCATTATCTATGATTTGATTTAGTGCTTCACCAATTCTGAAATCAGAACCATCTACATACAACACCAGAGGTGCTATTACTGATTGATGTGTTAGCATTACAATCTCCATTAGTTGGTTTTTGCAATTCTGTAAAGCTTGTTTGGCTTCATCTGTCCATTCAATTAGACATCAATTATTCTTTCTGGATCTTTTTAGATATTATGAAAATACCTGTTGTTTCTCTGTTGCCTGTGGAAGATACTGTCTATAAAAATTTGAAGCCCAAAAAGGAATGAAGTTCATTGATCATTTGTGACTCTGTAATATAGCATGACTGTGACTTTATCTAAAAGGGGTTTTTTTTTGTTCTTTCTGATACTAGGTGTTCTAAGAATGATAACACAGCCACTCCAAACAAGCATTTCAACATATTTAGCTGTATCCCTTGGTTGCTTAGTCTATGAAAAATTTGTTTCAAATGCTCTTCATATTTATCAAGATTGTCAGAAAATACCAGAATGTCATCTAAGTATGCAAAACAAAAGGTTAGGCCACCCAAGATCTATAAAGCATTGAAACATCTGGACTACATTACATAACCCAAAATTTAGAAATGAGAATTTGAAAGGTATTATTATTGCCATTTTTGGAATGTCTTCTTCATTAACAGGGATGGATGGCATGGTATGCTCAGAAAATGTCTAGTTTCAAGAAAATTGTTTTTCCATATAAGTGAAAAATTTTGGATATGTGGTATCAAATAATGGTTGGGTACCATTTGTGCATTCACTCTTCTGTAGTCCCTGACTGAATGAATTCTCCAGTGGATTTTGGCAGTAAGTGTAAAGGTGAAGTCTAGGTACTCTTCAAAGGATGATATATTCCCTGTTGTCATGAATTAAAATTCCTTCTTCACACTGCTAAGATTTCCAGGTGCAATCACTATGGTCTGCTGTGTACTGGGGCTCCTACAGTTTGAATGAAATGAGCTGTTGAATGCTTTGTCACTGTAAATTTTAGCCTTGGTGATATAATATCTAGATAATCTTTTAGCAGCCTTTGAAAATGAAGGTTTCCTTCAATAATCACTTTTACAATTGGCTGCAAGTATCCAATTTTCCATTTATACTTAGCTTGGTAAGCATATTAATGAGTTTTTGTTTCTTTAAATTGAGTATTAGTCTGAAATGCCTTAAGAAGTCAGCTAATGTATATAGAAACATCAATCTGCAATGTTGAAGTGCCACTTAAATGTTCTGCATAGTCTGAGGTCAAAGTGCAGCAGTTTAGTGCCAAAAGTTTTGATCATTGACTGGTTGGTTGCATACAATTCTAATGGTTTGGATTTTGTCTTTTTGTATTTCCCTTTGTGGGAATGCAAGAGACATCACACCCATTGTTGATTAAATATCTGTAGTTTGTGGCTCATTTGAAGATCACTAAGCAATTGCTGGAATTCAAGTTTCTGTGCTTGTTCATTAAGTTGAGTGGTAATGCTTGTGCATTTCCCTGACTAGCAAAGGAACATGGCGTCCTGTATTTCTTTGCAGATGTACCAAACCAGTTGTGGTAGAAGCAAAATTTGGGATTATTGCTGTTTTGCACATGCTAGTCATTATGTTGGTGGGGTATCATTGATTCTGATATAAGGCATAGTGGTTATCATTCTGTGTACCAGATCTGATTTGGTCTCAAGAAAGTTGTTTTACTTGAAGGGTGAGTTTCTCAATCTAGTTTTGTATATTGGAAATAATGGGAGATAACTACAACTGTTTTGGTATTTGCAACGTAAACAATGTTAAACACTCCTATCATCTTGTTCATTCCTGAAGTCTGCTAGAGTCACTAAGTGTGATAACTCTCCACTTGATGCAGATATGATTGTTTGACTATTTGATGGTAATTGTTGTGGTAATAAACTCTTCAGAAATTTGTCATTGAGTTTTGTCTCTCATCAGTTCTCTTATTTCTCTCAATAAAGACAATGGCTTGTTATCTCCCAACTGCAACTCACTTACTGTAATAGTTTTTTTTTAAGGCATTTTCCTTTTAAATCAGCAAATTCCATTATAAGATTATGTTTAATTAAATGTGTTATACTTGCTCTTTTCTGATGGCAAAAAAAAAAATGTTGCTAACATGGGATAGGATTTCTGAGTCAATCAATGAAAGCAGGCTAGTAATTTAATATTATCATTTAATATTCCCGAGAGCATGAAGGCAGCCTCTACTTGTATAAACAATTGAATATTTTGCTTTCAAAATACAGGCAGTCATAGTTCAATTCTATTAACCTCACTCATTATTTTCAGTAATGGACATAGCTGACTGTTATGGTTATCCAACTCTAACAAATACCAAATAATTTTCTTGAATAAAAAGAACAAAGCACTGACCTCCATGCTGCAGTGAAATTGTGGGTTGCATGTTCCATCATTTGTGCCTCTAGATGTGGATTGCCTTAAATAGTGTTGCCACCAGACCAGTTTTCACATGGATAAGCTGGATTTTAAATTCATGGTCCAGATTAATTATTAATTTGGTCCAGTTTTCATAGAAATTGTGAAATTATGATGAAACAAAATAAATTTATAAAAATATTTGTGAGTATTTTGCAAATATTAGGTTTGTTGTAACACAAGTCCCTAACTGGTTTAAAACTGACATGCATATTGCTCAGTTCTTGGCTGTAAAATGATAAGCATGCCTCGTACAGTTTACTACAATGCGCATGCCTCGGTATAACATCCTAATTTTAAAATGTCTGGATCAGCAATTTTGAAAAGGTAGCAACACTGGCCTTAAAGAAAGATTCCAATATAGTATGTTTTGTTCAACAAATAAACAACCTTTTATTGGTTCAGTATCTTCATATACAAAAATTTATAACTGACTCCAGTTAGATGAATACATAATGTGCACTCCTTACTTAGCACAAACTCTCAGAGTCCGTGCTAAGTTTAAAGTGTAAGGAGAGCATATTATGTTCTGTTGTGTAAAGTGTAAGGAGTGCACATTATGTTCATTAAAGTTCTGTCCATCAATCCACACCAAAAAAGAATGAATCTCTCTTTTTTCTCTATGTTGCCTATCTCAATACTCTTCGGTGGTAATGTCTCCTGCCATCACACACTTTTAAGGACTACATACAATATAACAAATTTTACATAACTTACAATCTGCACCTTTGAAGTCAGATGTTTTTTAATTAACAAATAATCTGTTAATTTTAAGCCGAAAATGATTGCTATATTATAAATATAAAACTATTAATAAAATGTTAAAAATATAATCTTCCTTCTTCATAAAACTGTTTAAATATGAAAATTTAATATTAATCTAAATACATCTTATTTTACAGGACAGATGATTCAAGTCAACCTGAAACAGATGAACCTATAAAACCTTTAATAACAAAAAGACCACCTCCGTTACCTCTTTAAATCTATCAAATTGTTTTGTTTATTGAAATTTTAAAATTTATTTTTCAAAAAGAATTTGAAAACTTCTATGTATAAATTTATGTTTAAATATATTTTTAATCATATGCTAAATATTTAATAAATTATTATTTAATTAAAAATATATATTAAATGTTCTTTGTTAAGATGATTCAGATTGATATTAATTGAATATATCAAACATCATTGCTTAAAGAGCTTAAATGTCTGTACCTGCTCATTATGGGTTATTCTCTGCAAATCCATTACAGGTTTGACTGCCCCATTGAGAGTTGGTGGAACCCATAATAAGTTTGCTAAAGAAAAAGGCCCTCTTAGTGCCCACAGGACAGAGAGTTAAAAGTTTATATATTGGAGGTATTGATATACAGTATTTTAAAAGTAAAATACTGAAACATTAAATTATTAAATTATTAAAATTGCATTATTTTAGTATGTTTTCAATAGTATCTGCATTTTTTTACAGTTTATATATTACATATTTAATGATTTTCTGTGTAAAACACCAATTTTTTTCTAACTATAAAGTCAAGAACTCTTGTAACATTAAAGATGTGAGTGTAAAAGTATGTACTACATTTTTAATGTTAAACAACCAATCACATCGTCACAAAGTCGGGCTGCAATTTTTAATCATATTTTTAATTTATTTAATTAAAAATATATGCTCTCCACCTTACCTCAAATTAGCAGTGGTTTTCCCCTGTACATCATACTTTTCCTTTAACAATAAGCTATATCCGCCCCATCCCTCACCACCCGCCAGCTCAATTGTGTCTGAACCCATAATGAACTTGCTAAATGAGACCCTCTTAGTGCCCATAGGGCAGAAAGAGTAAAAAAAATCAAACAAAAAAAACAGTTAAGACTTATTTCCAACTTAGGAAAATAACATTTTTTCGAATAAGGTACTGTAGCATCGTTAATTAATTATTTTATGTCAAAGCGGTTAACAAAGAACATCAAAGAAAAGCAATTCTTTCCAAGAACTTTTATACTTTTTTTGTTTTAATTTATATTGTATGTAATTATAATATTAGAATGTATTTTTAATTTTATGAAATTATCTTTGTTTTAACGTATATTTGTTAATTTTAGGGGTAGATAACAACTGTCCTTCGAGACTTTTCTATTTACTTGTAAAAATAAATGAGTAAAATATAAATAAAATAATATGTATATGTTTGTTAATGATAAAATCATTCTTTAAACTCGTTTTATAAAAAAATATCATTTAAATTTATCGGGTAGGTCAATAGAAAAGAATGGTGATTCTTATAAATTTTGTATTTTTTTCTATTGTTCATCTCGTACTTTGTTGGCCAGTTGACGGTGTCCCTCATATCTCGAGTAGGTCAGACTTAATGACGATTTTACTCGTATTAGCATTTGCAATTTTTTTTATAAAACTCGTCCCTACCCTGAAAATTAAGCTTTTTGGCATTTTATAATACAGTAGAGCCTCGAAAACTCGGCACTCGATAACCCGGCATTCCGGATAACTCGGCCACACCCTGGCAGAGCAAAAAATCCTGTTAATTAATTTTCATTATAGACATCTTTATGCCTCAAAGTATTTTTCTGGGGTGTGTCTTATCAGGTAAAAATTACTGTACACAGTGTATTCATTAATTTTCATTTTCATGTAGTAAAGGCTCTATGACTTCATAAAGGTCGTACTTTTCCTTTGTTTAAGGGTATTTGGGCAGTTTATTCTCTGTTGTATTCTCAAGTAAACAATACATACAAATACAGTACAGTATTTTCTGAGGAAACACTCATACTTAGTTTTTTTAACCCCATTACCGATAACCCGGCATTTTCACAAACTCGGCCACCCGTCGGTCCACATTAGGCCGAGTTTTCGAGGCTCTACTGTAATTAAAAATACTGTATAAGAGTTTTTTAAAACGAAATATAACAGATGGCATTGCACGCAGTTTTAAATGTTTCCGGGAAAGTTAAGCAACTCGTTGATGGATTTAACTTTGTCTTGTCTTATCGTAGTCGTTGGGCTAGTTACACAGACTATTGCGCCCCGTGGTGGTGAGAGATGGCGGTAGTAATATTTTCCTCAGTATTTATAGGTCTGCTTGTAAACGGTGAAAAAGGTGATCATACTTTGTATACAAATCTCGATGGGCGTAAATTTAAGACAATCGCTTATCTTAAAGATTTTGTGACGAATGATACTGTTATTATTTAGAATTTTTTTTCGGACGGGTTCAAATTGATAGCAGTTATCCAACCGATGTAACGTTGTATCTTGCTCTGTCGGGCAGAAAGTGCAGCGATCAGTATTTTTCAGGTTACGTTTATGGAGGAAGGAATTACTAATGAGGGAATTAGTCCTGGCCCGATGAATCAGGATAGTAGTGTATCGGTCCGTATAGTCCATGACGGGGATATGACGGCCGATGATGAGCCATTCATAGTCTGTATGGCTTGGAAAATTATACCATTCGTTGTCCATTTGATGTTTGATTTCGATGTTTATAATGCTGATGTAAACCTCCGGAATAATATAATATGTTTTCTTGGTGTCGTACGGCTGACTCTAATCAAGTTTGTCCGCTTGTTTCAGTGGCGTAGCGTGGGTGTCAGCCGCCCGGGGCGGAGGAAAATTTCGCTGCCCCCTTATTTAGGTATCTCAATTTAAAAGACTAAAATTCAGTTTCGCCACAGAATAAGTAACGAAAAATTCCGTGCTAGTGTTGCCACCTTTTTAAAATCGCCAACCCTGACGGCAGGTGAGGTTTGTTCGAACAGAAGTTCCTGACGCATGCGTATATCATTTTGCAATGAAGAATAATTTGCAGTGCATGCTGGTTCTAAATCAGTTACAGTTAGCGAGTAGGGAGACTTGGGTAGGAGTAACGTAAGTAATCTAGATGACTTAGCCCTATTGGATATTGGAGGTGTATATGATACGAATGAATCGTACAAGCAAAGAAAAAAAAAAAAGGTCGACAGGATGCGCGCGATATCCCCGGACGGCGAGTCGGATGGTAACACTATTCCGTGCTCATTTCAATCGGTCCGAATCGTAGGTGGACGAAAATATGAAATAAAATGGTATCAAATTCTTACAAGATACTATTATTATTTATTGTCAAATTTTACCGCCCCCTAAAAAGTGCCGCTTCCACTACGCTACGCTACTGGCTTGTTTGTTTATAGTTATCCCTTTATGAGCTGGGGTCCAAACGAGACGCATCTGCAGATTATCTTTATTGCGTCTGTTGATAAGGCTTATGATGGTGTGGATGATGGATGAAGACTTATCGTGGTGAGCGTTGATGGCGGTGAGGATAGCTTGAGAGTCCGTGCACAAGGTGATGTTGCTGTTAGTCTCAGTGGCATGTTGTAGCGCGCGAAGAATAGCGAATCCCTCCGCCGTGAAAATGGTGGTCTCGGGGTGGAGAGTGTAATGGGCTTTGGTGTTGGTGGTGTAGTCGATGAACGCTGCCGTGACAGTCGTGTCGGTTTTGGAACCGTCGGTGGCCAGGAAAGTAGAGAGATCTTGTACCGTTGTCCACTCATAAAAGGTGGATTGAATAACGGGATCCGGTAGGGAGGAGTCCTGGAATAGAAGGGCTCGATGTGTATGTCGAAGACGGTGGCGTCGGAGGGTATCGAGTTTTGGGTCGTGTGATTGTCGGTGGGGATATTATGGCTGTTTGTCCAGTTCCTGATGAAGTGGGCTATAGGAATTTTCACAAAGGTGGCTCCTTCATTGCTGTGAATGAGATGAATAATTCTTCGAGAGAAGTTGTCCCGCGAAGCCTTCTGGAAGTAGGAACTATAGTGTTTTATTAGGTATTTCCTATATCGGCAAGCTGTGGTTGTGGTGCGAGTAAGAATGTTGTTAGCGGTCATAGGGAGATCATAGTTGAGTTTAACGTACTGCATCTGTAAGGATTCTAGGATTGCCATCTGGGTTTTAGTTAAGGTTGCGATGTTGGGGATACATTACATTAGTAAGCTGCCGATGGTGCTGTCGGCGATGCACAAGAGGTCCTTTGGCTAGCCGCCGTGTTTTTTGTTGCAATAAATTTTAAAGATGTTCAGGAGCTTTCTGCTCTTGTCCCGAATGTATTGAATGTGGGTGTTCCACGTAAGACGTGCAGTAATGTAGACGCCAAGTAGTTTGATTTTGGAGACCTCGGGAATTTGTTGGTTATTGAGGACGAAATCCTTGTTGCCTCGAATATTGATGGGTATGCGCAGGATCGCGCACTTCCGTGGTTGGCACTGAACAGAATTTTTCGGAGACCATCTGCCAAACTTGTTTCAAAATTGGATCGTGCTATGATGTAGATGGGTCGGGTCAGCACCATGCGTGACGGCAGTAACATCGTCTGCGTAAACATAGATTTTAGTGTATTTATTTTCTAGATGAAAGATGTCATTCATAAAGATGGCAAACAGGAAGGGGGAGATCACACTACCTTGTGGGATTCCTACGCATTGGGTACTGCTAGGAGAGAGGTAGCCCCTCCATTTGATTTGAACCTGCCTGTTGGACAGGAAGTCTTGGAGCCAGAGAATTGAGTTGCCTTTTAGGCCTTTTTCTAAAGCTTTCCTTATAATATGGGAGTGATTGATTTTGTCGTAAGCACTGCAAATATCGAGAGTAATAACATTGATGTAGTAGCCTTTATTCCGGGGGGTGTATAGTTGTAACATCAGATGTGTTAATAAGTGTCGAGTGCCTTTGCCGGGAAGGCCGCCAAAGTGGTTATAATTAAACCAGTTATTGAGTAGCTATGCGCTGCCATCTGTAGAGAATCATTCGTTCCATCGTTTTCATACCGCCGGCAGGGGCTCCATACGACGCTCGTCTCGATGGACGTCGCTGGGGCCTTCGTCAACGTTTGGTGGCCGTCCATTGTGGGTGAGCTGAGGAAGGCAAACCTGCCGACCGCCCTTGTATCACTTTCTAGGAGTTTCCTGAGTGACCGCTCGGTTGTCTACGAGACACCAAAAGGGGCTGTCCACAGGGTTCCTGTATTGGTCCCCTTTTGTGGAACGTTCTAGCAGACACGGCGTTGCGGCTGGTCCTTCCAGACCAAGTCCAACTGCAGGCTTATGCTGACGACCTATTGTTAGTAGTTGCAGGCTATAGTCGACGCGATATGGAGGTTCGCGGCAACGAAGCAATAGAACAGCTCGTTCGCTGGGGAGAGCTGCACAAGCTCTCCTTCAGCCCTGAGAAATCAGAGGCCCTGACGGTGGCCCGAAGCGGGGTATTGGCACGCCGACCTATATACCGCATCCGGGGCAACCCCATCCGAAGGGTGAATGAGTTAAAGTACCTCGGTGTAATCATCGACCAGACACTATGCTGGACTCCCCACCTGAGGGACGTTCGAGTCAGAACGAACCGAATGATAGCGGCACTATCACGACTAGCAAGGCAGGATTACGGGCTGAGTGGCGAAGCGCTTCGTACCATCTACAAGATGTGTGTGGAGCGCATTGTCTGCTACGCCTGTGGCGTTTGGTGGAAAGACACCGCCAACGTTTGTCAGAGTAGGACACTACTCACGATCCAGCGTCCCGCTGCATTGCGGATCACGCGTGCGTACAGAACTGTGTCAACGGATGCGGCCCTGGTCTTGGCCGGGCTGCTCCCTTTGCCTCTGGTAGTCAGCCAAGAGGCAGCCTTCTACAGAACAACAGTGGAGGGCAGAGAGGCCATGCATTGTAATCAGAAGTACCCGATCAGACTTAGGCGTCAGACGGACGTACTAAAGATCCATCCTGCCCTCAGGATCGGACTGGATTGGGAAGTCGGTGAACCGACTGGTACAGGTGTTGAGATATACACCGATGGCTCGAAGGACGGCAGCTTAGTAGGCGCCGCATACTGCGTCTTTTCCGACGGAGTTGAAGTGTACAGCAGAACTGTCAGACTGAACGAGGAGGCGTCCGTGTTCCAGGCAGAACTGGTGGCCCTGGAGGGGGCGTCCCAGTGGATCCTACTACATCCGGGTCCAGAGCCGGTCACGGTCTACTCAGATAGCCAGTCGTCGTTACAGGCTTTAAGCGACGGGTACCATCGTGACCCATTGGTACATGAGATCAGAGGTAGGGTACTGAGGGCGAGGCACGAACGACACGTTGTCCTGCGGTGGGTAAGAGGACACACCGGCGTCCTGGGCAACGAACGGGCCGATCAGCTGGCAAAGGCGGGAGCCAGTGGCCCATTTGTTACGAGGACGGTAGATCCCTCGACTACATACATAAAAGGTACCTTACTGCAACGATCGATGATAAGCTGGCGAGAACGCTGGACTCTTAGTACAGTAGGTAGGTCAACCTACGCCTTCGTGCCTGTAGTTGGCCTCACTCCGATAAGTTGTTGCTCGTTGTCGACTCAAATCCTAACTGGCCACGGGAGGTTCCCCCACTTCAAGTCCAAATTTGGACAAGGAGATGGTAGCTGCCCCTGTGGTAGTCCTCGCGGCGACGCGAGGCATTACGTACTTGACTGTCCCCTAACAAGGGACTTCCGCCTAGGGGCAGACCAAGTTGACTGGTCCAAGCCCCCTGAACAAGTACTTCGAACGCTAGCAGCTAGTAAAGGGAACCTAAAGAAACTAAAGGAATTAATGGGAGAAATCATAGATCTTATTGATCTATAAGTTATAGTTGGCTTACTTGGGCCCCCTCCACCTGGAGTCAGGGCCCCGCTGTCCGTATACCTACTACATGTAGGTTCTGTCTGTGTTTCCTACATTATTGTGTGAGCTATTAAAGGTTTAGTTATGTGGACCAATTGTGCAGTACAGGCTGCACAAACAAAAGTTATGCCAAGTTAGTGAGTTGGACCGGGGTGCGGACGGGAGTCCGAATGATGCATCATAGGGCCCAACTATGACGTCCCTGTCTACCGAGTCAGGTACCGACCAGTCGATGAACAAGGCATAGTCTCTTTAAACCCTATAGTGCCAATAGGCGGGGCAGGGTAAAGAGTTCCTTATGAGACATCGTTTTCATGACCGTGGAAGTGAGCGCTATTGGTCGGTAGTTCTCGAGCATAGTCGGGTCTTTACCTTGTTTGTGAATGGGGTGGATGATGGTATTTTTCATCTTCGATGGTATGTTGCCCGACGACCATATGGTGTTGTAGACCGCCAATAGGTGGTCTTTGGCCTGATCATCGAAAACCTTTAGCATGCTTGTCGTGATGTCGTCGGCCCTAGGAGTCGTGTTCCGTCCTTTATTTATTGCATTATCCAGCTCCCTATTAGTGAAGGGGTGGTTGTAAGAGTCCTGCTGGTATGTAGTATTATTTGGACGTCTGATAATCGGATGTTGATCCCGTAAATGAGGGATGAAGAAGTTGAGGAATTTGTCCGCTTGATCTTTCGGGGTAATTAGAGTACAATTGGCGTGCCGCAGGACGAGGTGGCTTGGGGGAGTTGTTACTGTTGCGGAGGCGGCGGAGGATGCTCCATATGTTATTCTTGTAAAGGGGAGAGGACGCCATACATTCCCAAAAAGCACGCTTCTGAGTGATGATGCAGTATTGTAATTCCGCTGTGGCTTTTTTGGCTTGGATCCATTTATCTCGGTTGATGTGTCTGTGATAGCGATGATAAGCTTTACGCCTGGATGCAAGCGCTCGTTGACAGTCAGGGTTCCACCACGGGGGTTTAGGAGGTCGGTCGCTCAGTCTGTTATTCTTCCGCATGGCGAACAGATTATGATATCGTTGGACGAGGTCATCGTAGGTCCATTCATTATGTGCCGCCCAGGCGACCAAGATATTCATGGCGTTTACGCCATTCGTGGACGCATTCCGGTCAGTCTGGATTTAACTTTCCCGGAAATATTTTGGTGGCGTCATCTGTTGTGATCTTTTTATTTTTATATTTTTAACTATTATAAAATGGCAAAAAGTCTAATTTTGAGAGAAGGGATGGGTTTTATAAAAAAAATTATAAATGCTAATAACAAGTAAAATCGTCATTAAGACCGTACAACCCTATTCAAGATATGACACAACCTCTATCTCCCCATCCCATCGACCTTTAATCACCAAAATTTAATAGCATCAATCCTCCTAACAAACAAACTTCCTTGCAAAATTTCAGAAATTTTCGATAAAAAGCAGCATAGTTATTGCGCTTCAAAGAGGACGAACTAACACCCAAACATACAGGAAAAAAAAACCCGAAATTTTTTGCAAAGTAATTATAAATGCATATACACTGATCCTCCATATTCATGAATAATTGAGTCTCAGTAATTTTTTTTTTTTTGGATTTCAAATTCTCGAACTTTGAGTTTCTTTTTCTATATTAAATTTGTAAATCGTTCCGAGACTTTAGGTATTAGCGAGGTTGCGGCCGAAGTTTTCATCTGTAAAATGTGAACGTCGAACGTCGAGCGCCGCTATCTTGTAAGTGGCGTTCGACGTTCGACGTTCACGTTTGAGAGATGAAAACTTCGGCCGCAACCTCTCTATTAGCCTACTGCTGTTTTAAAAATGTTCAGAAAAATGAATGGTTTTATTAAATAAATGTACTGTGCAATGGTTTATAGTGCTACATAATACTTTTATTTAAGTTAAAATAAAAAAATAAACGAAACGGTATCATAACTTATGACACTATACGAATAAGTGAGTGCAGTGATCTTTTAGCATTGCACCTGCTCGGACATCGCACGCAAAATCCAGTTTATAGTAGTACTGTACGTGATCTGCCATTTCCCAAAATGTTGAATGTCGAAATCTTTCACGAAAGTTTGGTGCATAAATTTTCAATCGCGAATGATCGAATTTCCGAACAATGACGTCCATGAACATCGAGAGTTTAGTGTAAATCCAATCAGATAAGAATCTATTTGTAACTTTTATAATTATTTCACTTATCACTACACTATGAGCTTAATTCATTTATGTTGTATTTATTTAATTTACTTAAAATGTTAACATATATTTAAAATATGTGCTAATAGTCGTCTCATTTGGCATGAGAAACGACACGAATCTAAAAATACAATAAAAATCAGACTGGTAACGTAAGTCCATGTTCTTTGGTCACGATCAGTTTGACGAATCACAGCTCGAGATGGTACGATTGCTTATCCTGGTTGTATAAAAAAAAATTGAAGCTGGTCCCATATTGAAATTAGAAAATACAAAGAATGTTGTAAAGGAATAAGGTATTTCAATATTACATATTACAATATGCAATGTAATATTATTCTATTATATAAAAGCTTATATAGTTGAACCTGTCTATCTTAAACATGTTTATCTCGAAAACTTTTTTTTCTCGAAATTTGTTTTCCCTTGCATTTTCAGCCTAAATTTAATTAATAAATTTAGCCTAATTTATTTTCCATGTTTATCTCAAATAATTTTCTTCAAAGCCTCTATTTCTCAAATTATGGACTGAAGTTTCAATTACAGTTTCAAAGCTCGGCAACTACATTTTGATAGCATAAATTGCAGTTGAGAAACATCTCTTGCAATACAGTACATACTTGCAATTAACGCTGCTTTTATCTGATTGGTACTAGTTTGGCTTGCGTCCTATTGAAGAATGTAAGTCAAGGCATCAGAAAGTATTGACAAACTATGTCTGTTAAGGTATGTCAAAAGGGTATGTTTTATTTATACCTAAATCAGGTATGTACTGTACTTGCTCTTGTATTAATACAATACCGTATTTCTAATTAAACCTATTACTGTTTGCGGTGTAGGAACCTCCAGTGCTCCCCAGGATAAAATCTTGAGTGCGCCACTGGGAACCTCTATATCTTGAAACCTATCTATCTCAAATTTTTTCTTGTTTCTGTCAGATTCGAAATAGACGGGTTTAACTTTTTATAAAAATATAAAAGATGTTTAAGACTGAATTGGTTTCTGAAAAATTATTTAAACGAATCGTCGTAAAGAGAGTGATGAGGTTTCCCATAAGCTCAGTTATAAATTGGAATTACATTCCTTCAAATACAGTTTTAACTATGTAATAACACGTTGATGTGACAAAACTTGAAGTATTAAACTATAGCATTTCATACAGTCTTAACGAAAAATTTATTCCAATCGTAAAAGTGGAAGTATAATATACATAATATACATTGAAACAATACATATCAAACTTTTACAACAATTATAAAATTAATAAAAAACACAAAATTTTAATATAAAAAGTTATAATACAAAAATGTTAACGGTGGGAGGAAAAGTATAACATTCAATTTATATAACAAATGTAAAAATATAACAGAGTATAGAAGTATATAAGTAAAAATGGAAAAATATACATAGAATGCCTTAATAGTTGTCTTCTGTATTTATAAAATCCTACAAACACATTTACAATAATTGGAATTTCAAGATATGTAAGAATGCTTTTCAGGCAATCCATCGTCACGTGTTCGATAATTTCATAAATTTTTGCTTTCAGTATAGGATTGGGAGATGCATTAATAAAGGTTTTTGCAGCCCACGCCAATGCCTGATTAATTCCAAATATCTTTATAGCTTCGTAACGCCCAATTTTAAGAAGTTGAATAGATTCTACTTCTACGGAATATTCGGTCACTATTAATGTAATTTTCAAATCTAATTTGCTGAGATTGATTTCTGCATGACCACTCAATGCAATTAAAGATGAAAAATCAAATTTTGCAATTAATTTGACATTACGTACCGAAAATCTTCCCTCGACTTTTATGTAATTTTCCGAGAATGAAAAGTTACAAGGACTTTCACGAGTTATTGAACTTAAACCGTAAATATTAAAATCATATACTTTAATGAAATCAAAGATTGGATATTTTTTGTTAAATATTAATTTACACGAATCTTTATTCGTTAAAAGTCGTTTTCTCATCTTGAATCGAGTTAGGAATGTGTCAGTATATTTATTTACATTTCCTGTAAAATCTGAAAATAAAAGAAACATTAAGTTTTAAAACTATAGCAAATAAATTCAAAATTATAACAAAAATTTCAATAATTATTATTTATTACAATGATAATTTTAAAAGTTCTTCTTTCTCCAAAAACGGGTACACAATAGTTAAAAATTTCAGAATTAAAAAAAAAAAAAAGTGACTATTTATAATTTTAAAGTTCAAGTTTGAGTAAAATACGTGAAAAAATTCGGATAACTCAAATTTTTTTTAACTTTTTTAAACCTAGAGTCTTAATTACCCTTTTTGATATATTGTTAATGTGTGGTAACATAACCACTCAGCATATTAACAGATGTGCCGCATGAGAATTCAAGATCTGAATTGGCGAGAATCTTTTACTTTAGCATATGATTGGCATCATTCTCCGTTCTGACTGATTCGTGTGTATTGTAGGATACTTGTAATTTTTACTTGAGTTTCATTCAACTATAATGGGTGAACAGATGAAATGAGTTCAGAAGCGTTGATGCCAAGAGGAAATTCGTCTTTATACTAAGAATATCTGATTAGAAAATCTTATCAGATATTCTTAGCATAAAGACAAATCGATTTATTACACGTTCATAAAATTTTTCAACAACATATCGAAATTTTCGATAAGTGCACGAAAAGCAACAATTTCCTAAAGGAAGGAATGATAATTTACAGCATCCGTGAAAAAACAAAATATTTTATAAATAGAAAAATTTATTTATAAAATAAAATTTTATAAATATTCTTCCAAAGAAATTGAAGCCACACAGCGATTGTTTTGCCGCAGTACTTTATTTCTGTAATGTGTCACTCTTTATTAAACATATTTTGAAGAGCTATTGTGATAATGGAGGAATGGAGTCTGGAATTAATTTTTGAAAAAGTGGCACCATAAAGAAATAAACTACTCCAGCAAAACAATCGTTATGCAGTTTAAATTTTTTTAGGGAAAAATTCACTTTATTATTATATCAATTGTAAACGGTCAAGAAAAGAATTAAAAAAAAAAAATTTTGCCACAAACTTAATTAAAACGTTTTCAATCAGTTCTAAAATTGAAAATTTAATAGTTTTAAGAGCATCGGATTTAAACAGCAACTGTTTAAATCCGATCTTAACTCAACTCGCAACGAGTTAAGATTTAAAAATTAAGTTAAAATTTAAATCATTTATAAATAAAAATTCTTAATTGAAATTTTACAAACTATTCGATTTCCAGAATTTTGAAGTAATTTAATAAAATAATCAAAAACAAATTTCATAACATTTTCCCTATAATGTAGGAAAAATATAAATTTATATTATTATTATTCTATTGTTTTTATAAATAAAATGTTACCTTGAACCTGAAATTACTCATAAACTAAATGTGTGTGAGTAATTTACTTAACTTACGTAACTTACCTCACAAGATGATGTAGGAAACAAAATTAAATTAGTAAATTTGTATAAAATAATATAATTGATACTTAGCTTAATTTAGATTAAAAATCGAAAAGTTTCATTCGGAAATTATTTAATAATTCTTTCGTTTTCAGCTAATTTATAAACCTGAAGTCGAAAATGTATATTCTACTCCGGATCAAATTCTTATAAATGAATGAATAAATTCAACTTCAGAGTACTGAGAAATATAAAATATTCTTGACTAACAGATTGATTGATTAAATAATTAAAACAAAGTGCCATCACATTATAGGCTATACGGTCGGCCAAAATTGTGTTCATTAAAGAAGGGCATGATCAACAATAAGCCCAACTAGCGTGGATAAGATATGGAGAATAATTGTTATTTAAATGTGATTATTGTTGGCGTAAACACAATACAAAAATTTATAAATGTTTATAAAGCATTGATTTCATTAAAATATTTTCATATTTATTTCTCGTCTTTCTTTTTTTTTTTTTTTACTTTTAAACTCATTGTGTAGTCGTCATATTTCATAGTATGAATATGTAAAGGCATTCCTGTTTTCAACCTTTATTAACGGAGGGTGGGAAACGTCGTTCCCAGTGCTGGGAGTAATTAGGAACCATTTTAATTAAATAACGCCGCTAGTCGATAGTTCTTAAAGATGGTCGCCTTTTTAACGGTCGCTTTCGCAACTACACCATAAAAACTCCTCTTATGCAATTTCCTGAGAGAATAAAGAGGAAGAAAATGATTCTGATTAACTGCCGTTGGAATCGGTTTTGAAGTTTTCTCCATTAAAAAAAAAAAAGAAAAAATGGAATCGGTTTTGAAGTTTTCTCCATTAAAAAAAAAAAAGAAGAAGAAAAACAACTTTCTATCAATGCCTTTCTCGTGCACGGTCGCAGCCATGTTTGCTCAATCAGAAAAAACAGCCTTTCCAGGTGCTTCCAAAAAATACTCTCGAATCAGATTTTCGCTGGTTTCGCAACACCTGCTCTGCTCGAATTTACGAACTTGTTTTAAAATTTTGCAAACTATTCCATTTCCAGAATTTTGACGTAATTTAATTAAATAAACAAAAATACCATGAAAACCTGGGTTCATATCCTATCCTTAATCCCCACAGTTTATTTTAATTGAGATTTGCTTACAGGCTGAATAGACTAAAGCTGAAATCCTCATAATTTTAGACCCTCATAATTGTTGTCTTTTACTTTTGCTTCCTAATTTTTTACTTTCATAATTTCTGGTTTCATAAATTTTAAGCATCGAGAAAAATTCGAAAAAAGTCTAGAAAAAGTGCTTTAATGAATAATTAATTCAAATTCAAATAATATGTTTATGAAATTCATTTAAATTTTTAAATGACTGCTTATATTATGAAAGAAAATATCACTGAAAATTGTATCCTTGCACATTATTTCTAATAGTGAACAGGAGAGTTTAACTTGAAAAGTAAAGCCTCATACTTATTTCTAGTATAGGACCATTATAAAATATTAATTGTTATTGGATGGTTTTTTTTTATTAATGAAGATTAAGTTAGGATTATATTCTGAGAACCATTGTTTTATGATTTATAAAACAGAATTATCTGGATAGTAGCATGAAGATGGGTTATTCCTGATTCAGCAATTCTACGTTCAATTTTATTCAGGTTTCAATTGCTTTCTTTTTATCCAAATATTTTTTAATATTTTCTTAACAAGGGGAAAGTTGTGAAAAATGAATAATTATTAGAAAATTTTAAAAATAGGCATAAAACTGTTCACTGAGAAATTGCTATGAATAGTTATGCAATAAGAATTCATAAAATGTTCTATTCTTTTATTGGTAATTATAAATTCTATTGTAAATCAGATCATTAACATACAATATTATTGCCTGCTGACAATAACATCCTAATTATCTGGCAATAATTGAATATATTAAATCCTGTTTATTTCTATAAAACTTTTTCTGCATATTTCTTTCCAGAAAAATATTTCTAACATTCTTTCTATGTTATATGATCATAGCTACAAATTATACTTCTGTAATTTCACGAAATTTTTAAATTTTATTAATAAACTTTGCACAAAATTTACGAATTTTGTGGCATTTTTAACATAAACACAATATTTTATTAATTGTTTTTGTAACAGTATGAATCTTTAAAAAAGACGATGATAATTAAATTTCATTAGTTAACTCCGTAAGCTATTATAAAAATCAGTAACAAAGCAAAAAAACAAATTGACATTTTATTATAGAAAATTATGTACATAAATATTTTAATTTAGAGATATATTTTAACACAGACCTATGTATTGTGTGAAAAATCGAAGTAGACTATAAAAATATATTAATACAAAAGGTATTAGGCATAGAGAATATTTAATAAGTTGTTTTCTCTGCTTGTATAATCCAATATATATTCTTACAGGCAATGGTACAATATACGTTGAAAGAATACTTTTCAAAGATTCTGTGGCTATATGCTCTATAGAATTAATAATCTTTCTCTTGAGCGTTGGATCAACAGATGCATTAATCCAGAGTTTTGTTGCCCAAGCCAAGGCATTATTGATTCCAGTTATTTTTATAACTTCATAATGTCCCAGTTTCAATATTTGAAGCGATTTAACTTCTAGGCAATGTTCGGTAACTACTAATATAACTTTCACATCCATACTGCTTAGAGTTGCTTCAAAGTGTCCTCCTAATGCGAATAAAGAAGAAAAGTCAAATTTGGCCATTAAACGTACGTCTCTTACAGAAAATAAGCCATTGACTTTTATGGCTTCTTCTAAAAATGAAAAGGTACAATCGCTTATTCGAATCATCGAACATAAACCATAAATAACGAAATCGAATATTCTTACATAATCATCGATTTTATATTTCTTTTTGTTTGGTAGTCGATACGAATCTTTCTTCGTTAAAAGTCTATTTCGTAACTTAAATCGTGTTAGAAAAGTATCAGTATATTGATTTAAATTTCCAGTATTATCTGAAATAAATTAAGAAATTAATTTTTTAAAATTCTAATGTAATTTATTAAATTTAAATTTTATAATTACAGAATCGAAATATTAGAATGGTTACAGATAAATAAACGTAACAGGAAGCGAAGAAGCAAGCATAAAAGATAGAAAGTTAGTAACAATAAGTGAAATTTTTAACTGCACATATTAAACAATATATTTATTAATAACACTCAAGTTTTTATTAAAAAAAGCACTTATTGAATTTTAATAGAGCAACATTTACAACTTTGTTAAAGCATTTAGTTTCTTTTAATACAACATTTTAGATATTTTATAGTACAAAACTCCAACGAAAAATTGTGAATTTTTAAATAATCAAATGCAGTTTAAACCAGATATTATAATTTTTTTATAATAGTTAAATTTAAGTTTAAAAAGGTTTTAATTGAATTTATTACCGCATTTCTAATTGTTATATGGATAATTCATCATAAATTGAAACTATGTACTCATATTGCAGCACATGTACTCACAAAAGCTAATGATTTCTTGTTCCTTACTTTCATTAGCAAAAAGCAATCCTTTTTCTTTATACTGGTGAAAGTAAAGAAT